GTCCGTCTATCTATCTATCTATCTATCTATCTATCTATCGCCATCATATGTATTGAGCGTTTTACTATAAAGTATACTGTTATAAAAAGTTACGATATATTTCAATTCTAAAAATTATTTTATTTGCTATACTAGCTTTAATTTGTGTTGATTTAAAGAAAATTGCTTGAGTACCTATAGAGTAGTGTTGCATCCTTCTTATCTACGCCCAACTCGTTTTTTGAGACTTTGGTCATGTTTTGCATGAGAATCCAACTCTTTAGCAGTGCAGGTAAGTCAGAAGGCACGAAATAGCATTAGACATCCCCTTTAATGTTCCTAAAAATGGGCTTTATTGTCTATATGAAAAAGTGTAACTTCTTATTTTTTTCTTTTCATTTTGTTGTTAATGTGACATGTTTTTGTGAGATTCACCAGCTTTTCCATTATAGCCTTTGGTAATGGCTCTTTCACTGGCTGATGTGTGGTGTGTAGGTGGACATCATTCGGAAGAGGCTGCATAAAGACATCCTCCACAACCCTGTGGCCATGCTGAACTTCTGCCCAGACCTCCGTTCGACGACCTCTGACCTGCGGAGCATTCAGGGGGAATACATCTTCCTCATCGACCGCAGTGGAAGCATGAGTGGGGTCAACATCAATCGAGTTAAGGTTAGGATGCTTGTGCTTCTGTGTTACACTAACTCTGGCCCTCACTCCCAATGCTTATTAACTTTTGATGACATCCTAATTTATTCAGCAGTTTAAAACCCCCAAAGTGCATCAGTCGTGTTAATAATCATTAATGGAAACAAGTTTTTACACACACACAGCAGTGCTTATTTAACGGAGAGACAGATCGCCCACATGTGTTCAACGGTATAAATCTGATTGGACAGTTTTATGGGAGTTGGAGAGCACAGATATTATCAGTCCTTCAAGGAGTAATTCACTCAAGAATTTGCTGAAAATGTACTCACCCTCGGGCCATCCAAGATGTAGATGAGTTTGTTTCTTTATCAAAATATATGCTCAATATATACTATCAAAATATATTGCTCAACAATGGATCATCTGCAGTGAATGGGTGCCGTCAGAATGAGAGTCCAAACAGCTGATAAAGACATCACAATAATCCACACCACTCCAGTCCATCAATTAACATCCTGTGAAGTGAAAAGCTGCATGTTTGTAAGAAACAAATCCATGATGTTTTTATCAGCTTTTGAACTCTCATTCTGATGGCACCCATTCACTGCAGGTACTCATTAGCAAGTAGGGCTGCATATATTTAATATTCACATTATTTACATTTTGATTTTGCCGGAGATCTTAAAATGAGCAACATTCAGTAATTTTAATCAAACCTTTTTTTTTTTAAATGATAGATTCAGAAACTTTCTTGTAAGGAAGACCTGCAAACTCCTTGTTCTCACAATGTGAGGGTTAAAATGGAGATGTCCCTGATTTAAACTTCTCTGACTAGCAAAAAGCTGTTAGAGAAACGTGAATCAGTGTGAGTATGTTTTACTGAATAGGTTGAGAATTTCAGTAATTTGTTTGTATTATCATTCTAAAATGTTCAATTAAGTATACAGCTTTTCGTATCTAAATATAAATTTGAACAAATATAATTCTGCATTGTGTTCATTTAGTGAAAAGTTTAAGAAACATGCCTTGAATTTTAACCTTTGCATAAGCAATTTGAATCTAAGCTTTTTTAGAGTAAACGCTGTATACTACCAGTCAAAAGTCTTGGGTTAATAACATTTTTAAAGAAGAAATTAATACTTTTTTACAGAAAGTATTCATTAAATTGATCAAAAGTGACAGTAAAGACATTTATAATGTTAGAAAAGATGCCTATTTCAAATAAATTTTGTTCTTTTGACCATTATATTCATCACCGAATATGACAAATAAAACAATGTATCAGTTTTCTACAAAAAGATTTTAAGCAGCACATCTGTTTTCAACATAGATGATAATAAATGCACCTTGAGCAGCAAATCAGAATATTAGAATGATTTCTGAAGGATCATGTGAGACTGGAGTAATGATGCTGAAATTTCAGATTTGCATCACAGAAATAAATTACGTTTTAAAATATATTCAAATAAAAAACACTAATTTTAAACTGTAATTATTTTTTCACAATATTACACTTTTTACTGTATTTTTGCAGCCTTGGTGAGCATAAGAGACTTAAAAAAAAAAACGGAAAAATCTTACCAACCCCAAACTTTTGAATGATAGTGTACATGTTGAGATATTTATTTCCCTGAAATAAATACGTTGTTATTTTTTGTTTTAATTGTTTTTACTACATTAGTTCACTGAACATTATGTGGCTCTGTAGTTCTGGATCAAATCAGAGCTTTTGAGTAGCCTGTTGAAGGGGTTTTGTAATGAAATAACAAGCTTGTTGCACTGAATAGCTCAAGCAGCTACGATAATTGAACTTGGTAAGTCTGCATGCTGAGATTGGATATTTCGTGCGCTGTGAATGTGTGAATGAGCGTGTGTGTGCGTGTCCCCTGTTGACGGGGCTCTGCAGCGTGACGCACGAGCCTGCGATGACTCACTGTGGTTTTGATTGAGGATCGTCCCCTTCTGACCACAGAAACCAAACTGCTCTATATAAAGGCTCAGGTCACTCTAGCGGTAATATCCTTCCCTGAATATCCTTGACCCTCAAGAAGACTTGTTCCATGCTGAAATGTCATATATCCAGCGTGATCCCTCCTGGGCTGGAGGAGGACAACAATAGATGTATCTAATAACACTGAAAGGAATCGTTCACCCAGAAATGAACATTTTACTCACCCTCATGTGACTTTATTTCTTCCGTGTAACACAAAAGAAGAAATTTGAAGAATTGTGCTGGTGATTTCTGCTATGTATTTAGCTAAAAATGAAAATTTGCTTAAAATATATTTAACCTCAGGCCATCCAAGATGTAAATGAGTTTGTTTCTTCATCTGAAAAGATTTGGAGAAATTTAGCATCACTTGCTCACCAATGGATCCTCTGCAGTGAATGGGTGCCGTCAGAATGAGAGTCAAAACAGCTGATAAAAACATCACAATAATCTACAAGCAATCAACACGACTCCAGTCCATCACTTGTGAAGGGAATATTGTGTTTAAAAAAAACAAAAACGTTTAAACTGTCGCTTCTGGCCAAAATATGTGTCCATAGTCCATAATAAATACATTTTAAGCCAATTTTTATTTTTGCGGGAACTATTCCTTTAAATCATTTAGTGAGTTGACCTCAAGAACTGAATCAGTGCAATTTGTGAATGAATCATTTAGACCCATTTCGTAAACTTGATAAACTGATTCATTGCCAATATTTGGCTTAAAAGACATTTCAACTCTCATGAAAACATTTTCAGTAAATAATTTCTCACACAAAGCTATGATTCCAAAACATTTACAATATTATACTTTATGCATGAGCCTTTTTGTAGCTTGAAAGCCACTATTTTTGTAACTGCATGAAAATAAATGAATACAATTTTCAAGGTTTTAAAGATCATTTTTGGTAAGAACCAAGTATCATTTCTAACTGTGTGTCAAGTTCTTTTTGAATTTGTGAGGAAGTGTTTGCCGAAGGTAGACTTGTTTTATTATTATAACAAAACTGGTGATTCGTTTTTTAATTAATTCAAAACGTTAACAGACCTTATCATTGTAAAAACTGTGGAAATGCTAGAACTCTTCTTTAATAATCTCATTCATATTTACAAACTTAATTATAACCTCATGCTAATTACTCGCCGCTGTACCTGCTCTCAGTCTGTCAAGAAGCAGCATTATAAATTATATCTACTTTAAATGAGACAATATGGATGTCTGACAGCTATAATTGTGGTGTTCAGTGAGCGATGCTACACAGTTACCTAATGGCTTCAGGTCTTCTAACAAAGATTGTTGGTTCAATCCAAGCAAGAGTGACACAGCTGAAATGCCACTGGCAATCGACCACCAGTCTAAACATTAGGGGAAACAGGTCACCCTCAGTGTCTATAATAGTTACACTTAACCCTGTAATTAGAGTTACTTTACAGAAGGCAAATGACTATAATCTCTGTTAATGCAAGTAATATGTTATTAAATCACTATGAGCAAGTCAAATGCAATGAAAGATGTAAACTCGGTGTGAATTATATATAAGCACCTATAAAAAAAACTATAAACACACAAGTACATTACAAATTGCTTATACAATATTATTTTACAACAAATATTTTAATATATCAAAATAAAAGTAAACATGTTTATTAAACAAAAAATATTTTAAAGATATTAAAAAATATATTTGTATAAAATTATATATAATTATGAGTTGTTACTGGTTCTCAGCAATGCTGAAAAACCTTTTTTAGCTGCTTAATATTTTTGTGGAAATAAATCGTTTTAAACGAGTAATGCAAAATACAGCTGTCTTTAAATTTGTAATAATGCAAAAGTGATAATAAATAGCTAAATATATATATATAGTAATACATAGAATTGAAATAATATACATATTTTTAATGAGTAATGCAGAATCGTTCATGTTGACCTCTTCCTTTTGTGTGTGTTCACAGGACGCAATGGTTGTGATTCTGAAAAGTCTTTTCCCAGGAATGAGTAATGCAGAATCGTTCATGTTGACCTCTTCCTTTTGTGTGCGTTCACAGGACGCAATGGTTGTGATTCTGAAAAGTCTTTTCCCAGCATGCTTATTCAACATAGTGGGCTTCGGATCCAAGTTCAAAACGCTGTTTGCCACCAGTCAGAGCTACGATGAGGTTAGTCTCCCGCAGGGATCCGCACTCACTGCCCTCATTAGATCAGCAGTTACTGTCCAGAGGATCAATGCTTGTGTTTTTCTGCCGGGATCCAGTGGAAAAGGTCTGGGTTTATATAGTGAACGTCTAGTAGAGTTTCATACTGATTTTATCATTTATATAAACACTGCTTAATCAGTGCACTGCAAAAAATCATTTTCTTTCTCAGTATTTTTGTGTTATTTTCCAGCACAAATATCTAAATATTCCTAAATCAAGATATATTTACTTTGAAGACAATCTTGTCTTGTTTTCTGAAAATGTAGCAAAATGAAGTGACTTCATGCTTAAAACAAGCCAGTGGGGTAAGAAAAATAAATTATAAAAACATGTTTATTTTTCTAAGTCTGTTGGCAGATGTTTTTTCTTGTTTTAAGCGCAAAGTGACTTAATTTTGTTATTTTGCTTTTAACCCTTGTGCAACCTTTTGGACATTTTTGTCTTTTTCAGTTTAGTTTTTTTGATCATTTTGCCTGTGTTATTGCCAACTGCATATATTTTGGCACAGGTGTGTATATTTATTGGAATTTTACTATTTCACTTCCATTTCCTTTAATAAATCTGTTTTGCACTAGGTACAAAAAAATGTTCCTCTCAGGACCTTAAGGACAAAAATGTCCCCATTGAGACCCATTAAAATGGCTATTTTTAATCGCAGTGCCATTTAACTGTAAAATGATGCATTTTTTGTTAATAGGCTTTCATTCTGTTGGCAAGGCTTTAAAATTAATTTTTTTATAATTTTTTATCAGATGAAGCCATTTTTTCAGGTTTGGCCTATAAAGCAAATACTCGCTTTATTCCTGTTTTCTGCTTCTGCATATTATAGAGCCAATTTGATCAATAATGCAGCTATAATTGTGTGGGTGTGTTGGTATGGATGTCAGAGTGTGGTTTGTATGTGTGTCAAAAAAAATTGTGTGTGTGTTCTTGTAATATTTGAGAGAGAGAAACTCTACTGCAGATCACAAATCCAACAACTGTGTGCACCAGCAGAGTTTTGCTGGCATCTAATGGGGAAAATTTGGTACTGCGCCCAAACAAAATATTACTGAAAGCAAATTTTTTGAGATATCAACCTCAAATTTGGACTACTAAACTTGTTTAGATTTATGGCTTTGATTTTCTAACAGGTATAACATGTTCAACATGTTTCATAAGATATATATTTTATATAAAATATCGTTCCTAAATCATTTTCTTAAACTTAAACCTCTATAACTTTTTTTGTTTTTGTTTCACTTTTTAAAGTTTTTTTACTTCAACAATAAGCTGCCACGGGTCTTCTTTTAAAATGAGACCAAACTTAACTCTGTTTTTTTGACATGGACATTTTTGTCCACAATGGACCTATGTGTAACGCACAAGGGTTAAGTAAATACATCTTGATTTATGTTTAGATATTTGCATTAAAAGAGAAAATCTCTGTGGCAAATTTTTTATTTATTTTTTTAAGCGTAAATGTAATGAAATTTAAGGGTTTTTGGGTTTTGAAAAGGTTTGACAGTGGACTATGAAAAATGTGTGTGTGTGTGTGTATATATATATATATAGTCTGAAAATAATGTCTTATCTTACACATTTTTGCTTCTCAAGTAAATGTCTTGTTTTAAAGACGTTTAGATATATTGGATCTGTCAAACACAAGATAAAAATACTGATTAACTGAATTATTTTGTTTGCAGAAGTGTCACTATAGTTTAGTTTTTTATAGTTTGTTATAACAAACCTCATTTATTTCACAGGAGAGCTTGGCGTTGGCTTGTGAGCATGTGAAGAAGATCCGCGCTGACATGGGCGGCACAAACATACTGGCTCCTCTCAACTGGATCGTACGGCAGCCCATGCAGAGAGGTCACCCTCGCCTGCTCTTCCTCCTGACCGACGGAGCCGTCAGTAACACGGGGAAAGTTATTGAGTTGCTCCGCAGCCACGCCAGGTTCACCAGGTCAGAGTTTGCACATTCCCATTCATGCATTTGTCAGATGCGTTTTTCCCAAAGCAAGTTACATTGCATTTAAAGTGTATATTTTATCAGTTCATGCATTCCCTGGGAATCGAATCATGACCTTGGCGTTGCTAGTGCCATGCTCTGCTGTATAATGTGCTGTTGCATTGTAATCTCAGATAATTGTTAGCGTCCACCAAATACGATTGTACTGTGTAATTAAAAGGTTGTGCTAATGTATTAATCTGAACATTTGGTGGATTTTTAGGACATTTGTTCATCAACTCAAGATCTTGTTTATTTTATTTTATTTTATTTTTTACTGAACAGCACACATTGACTTATTCAACAAGGTCATGAAGCATTCACTAATGAGTTTGGAAGCCATCTCTGAGTCTGGCAGAATGTCTATTAAAAAGTAATAATAAAAATATAGAAAACCTTTTACATTTAAGGAAACAGTTCAACCAAAAGGTAATATTCTCAAATGCGGCTCATCAAAACACATCACAGGTTTGACCGTGTTTGTTCTTACTAGAAATGTAAATACAACAGTTTGCTTGAATTATAATACTTTACCTAGTTGTGAACAGTGTTTATTTATATTCTATTGTAGTATTTAGTGTATTGAATTTGATTTATTTGAATATCAGTTTTTTATTTTCATTTTAATTTTAGTCAAAGTTTAAGTAATTTTATGTGATTTTTATTAGTTTTTATTTTTATTCTATTTAGTTTATTTATTTCAGTTTTGGTAATTGTTGTACTTAAACTTGTTTTATTTCAGAATAAGTTCAAATTTTTGTATAATATAAGTTTTGCATCTAATATTTATTTTTTCAGCTTTATTTCAATTTATGAAAGCAACTTTTACTAGTTGTAGTTAGATAACAATAACAGCACTGATCGTGACTCAGTTTCAATGGTTTTGGATAGATTAAGAATTATTCTCAAAAATATACTGAGAACATAAATGCAACTGGAAAGAAAATTTACACTATATAAAGTTGAATATTGACAATAAAGACTTTTTTAAGACATTTATTTTGGATAAGAAATGTATGTAAATTGATTATTAATACAATAAAAAAAGAGAACATTTCAGCAAACTAACACAAACAGATGTTAAAAAAACAGTTCCCCTGAAAGTAAACATTCTGTCGTTCTTTACTCAACCTCATGTTGATCTAAACCTGTATGACTTTCATTGTTCGTCGGAACATAAAAGATATATTGAAAAAGGTTTCAGTGTTTTCTTTTAATGAAACTCAATGGAGTCCAGTGTTGTTTGAACCCCAGAATATCTTCTTATGTGTGCAGAAAAATAAAGTCACTCAGGTTGGAAACAACACCAAGGTGAGTGAATGATGACAGAATAATCATTTTTGAGTGAGCTATCTCTGTTGAATATGCTAAATAGTTAATAATATATCATATTGTATAGCATTCACTATCATGACTTGGAATATAGTGCTGGAATCATACATCATATATGGTGCCTTTCTAGTGCAAACCAGCTTCTGATCACAATATGTTTTCATTTATATGGAAAAGAGCAGCTTGGACAGTCTTAAAAATATCCTATTTTATTTTCCACATAAGGTTTTGGAACGATTTGCTGATTAAATGACTCATCATTCAAATCTTTAATTTTTGGGTGAACTAATCCTTTAATATCATAGGTTCAAGGATACAGAGCTGCAGAACTATTCAGGTAATAAGATCATAATCAGATCGGCACAGCCGCTAGCAACAGTAAATTGATGTCTCTCCGTCTAATCCTTTTAGATCCGCACTAGCCATAACGCGGCTGGGATTCGCAGGCTTTGTTTCCGCACTCCGCTGCTTCCGAGAGGCTTCCATCTCCATGCACCTCCAGTCCATTTATCACCTGCCGAGACGTTCACCTCAGAGAAGCACTTCTTTTCTTCCCCGTCCTCCTAGAACAGATGCTACAATAGCTTTCTTTCAAATGAATGGAGGAACCCGTGGGTTTTAACAGCCGTTCCTGCAGTACAATAGACACACGATGGCTGGGAAGTGAAGCTGTGGTGTAATTTACTGCCTTAAACAGCACTTGCCCTCCACAGACGATTCAGAATAATCACAAATGTGTCTTGCTGCACTCCGTTTCTCTGCTGTGAGGACACGACTCGGCTTTCTTTGCTTGTTAGGGAAGAATGTTTCTCAGCAAACTGAGCTGATTGACCATCCACACTTTAGTAAATGGACAGATGTGTTCCCTGTTCTCTCATATATCACACGTGGTGAGCTGCAGATGTTGCTGCCTACACTGAAGGTCACTCATCTTCAATTACTACTGTTTGCCTTCAGATACTGTGTATTAAAGCTCAAATCTAGAGATTGTAGAAATTTCAAACATAACTTCAATATATCAGCTTGGTTCCAAAACCTAGGGTGCTGCCTACCTAGACAGCATTTTGTATTTGTTTAATGTATTTATTTTAGCTATATATATATTTATTTTTATTTATGCATCATTTATTTACTTACATAGTTAGAAATACTCAACTATATGTATTTAAAAAAAAAAGAAAATAAAAAATGAACCATTGTGCCCAATACTCATATGTAGTGTGCATGTGTATGTATATATATATATACATGGTACAGTGGGCGGAGCTTCCCTCCGCGCTCTCGCTGTTCATGACACTCTCCACCATGGCGAGCTCTGTTGCCGGCTCTCACACCTGGTCTGATGTTGTGGGCTTTGGCTCCGCGGCGATCCTCAGCTCTGTCGCAGTCAATGGCGATGGCTCGTCGGTCACGACGGGCGATGGCTCTCCGTCAGCGGTGGGCTCAGGCTTTGGCTCCGCGCAGCGGGGAGATGGTGGGCTGGGCTCTGGGTCCGGAGTGGGGCTGGTGTTGCGGCGAATGAATCCTGAGGTCCACCTCCGGACAACCGCGCTCTGCACTCCTCGTTGAGGCTCATCTGGAAGAACGAGCAGAGGCTGCTGTCCGGGTTGCTGGAATGGTTGGCGATCTCCACGAAGCAGCAGGAGGAGGACATCGGGGTGATGTCCGTGTTTCAGGAGGGGAAGGAGATCTTCCAGGTAATCCATGAATAAAAACAAAAACTGACAAAAAAACGGAAACTAAACGGATAGAAGGGGCACTGCTACTTTAACTTTTCAAGGTCCGGTATTCTGTCACGGCTGTGTCGAGGAAGGTACACGAGAACGATGATAGAATTCATATGTAGTTTAATAACATCCAAGACAAAAATAATCCACAGAGAATGAAGGGTAGACACACACCAACACAAACGTAATACCGGACAAAGAAACGCTGAACAGAATGCAACTTATATGGAGAACGTAAATGAGGATAATTACTAGACACACCTGAACATAATTACACAATCAACAGGAGACAGAAACTAGGTCACACAGAGCACATGGGAAATGAAAACAGTCCTGGGGTGTGACAGTTATAATAGCATTAGTATTATTTAGATAATGTTATTTTAAAATATACTGTATTTTGTTAATAATAATAATAATGTATTATGATTTATAAATAAATAATAACCTATTTTATAAATTTATTAATTATTAGTTATATGTAATGTTTTTGTTGTATTATTAATATTATTTAGATAGATAATGTTGTTATTTTAACCGTATTTTCATATAATATCAAATAAAAACAACAATAGTTAATCTGTAATTATTATACTGTTTTATACTACTATTTATATTAACAAAAATAAAAATGCTAATTAATATTATTGTGATAGTTACTGTTTTCAAATTCACTGTATTTTAATATTACATCAAATATACACTTATTATTATTATTATTATTATTATTTAGAATATATTGTTATTATTAGAAATATATTGTATTACGATGTATTAATTATTAGTTATGAATATGTAATATATATTAATATTATTTAGATAGATAATATTGCTATTATTTGAAAATATGCAGTATTTTTTATATAATATCAAATAAAAACAACAATGATTATGTCTTTAATTGATTACATCTTTAATTGATTTTTCTGTACATTTCTGCCATATGTACATTACCTGACAGTCTGGAATTATTATACTATATTTCTATACTACTATTTGTAATAATAATAATAATAATAACAACAACAACAACAACTATTATTATTATTATTATAGTTGCTGTTTTCACATTTACTGTATTTTATAATTACATCAAATATACACAAATGATTATTATTTACATAATATTGTTATTATTTGAAAATATATTGTATTTTGATGTATTACAATGTCATTTATATATACTAGTGCTGTCAAATGATTAATTGCAATTAATCGCATCCAATATAAAAGTTGTTGTTTACATATGAGTGTGTACTGTGTATATTTATTATGTATATATAAATACACACACATGCATGTATATATATATATATATATATATATATATTTACTAAAAACACAACAATGATTAATCTGTAATCATTATACTATATTTTTATACTACTACTATTTCAGAATTATTAAGAATAATAATTTTATTATTTACAGTCATTATCTGAAAATACTACATTTTGATATATTATAATATCACATATATGAAAATATAGGCTTTTGTATAATAAGTATTATATTTTTTTGTATATCAGTTTTGTTAATGCAAATATAGATTTTAGAGCAAAACAAAAAGCTCTCAGACGTCTTTTCTCTGCTGTAACAGGACAAACGGAGGCGGTACAGCATGATGCGTTCCAACGAGTCGGCCAGTTCAGTGTTTTATCACTCTCAAGAGGAGGATGCTGGGAAGGTTTCCTCTGACGGTCAAGGGCCGCACAGGGACAATCAAGTCGGCTCGCTGTTTGACGGTTGCCAGGAGACCATATCCGAGAGCAGTCCTGTTGCCACGGAGCAAGACATTATGGGTAAAGTACAGCTCTATACAGGGTAAACGTGTATTTAAAAAGTAGTCCATACAAGATACAGAATTTTCATTTTTGGTTGAACTATTCCTGATGTCTCCTGATGAAAGAGAGGTTTCTTCATGAAGTCAGCAAACATGAAGATAAACTGAGAGAAAACTAAAGAGAAAATTAGACAAATTCTTTTCTTTTCTTTTTTTTTACACAGGAACTGACATAGCCACCTCTCCGCGAAGACGTGCTTACAGCACCAATCAGATTGTAGATTACAACCCCATGAAGAAGGCCTACACCCATAGTGACCCCAGCTCAGTGGTGGGCAAAAACCCTCTTAGAAGAGCAAAAGTCCAGGAACTCATAGGACAGACACATCCTGACCACGGAGCTCAGTGGAAAATGGACTACCAGGTTGGTAAACGCTAAACCATAAGGCTCGAAACGTGCAACACAAGTATGTGAATACAGAAACTTTTTGCTATGTAGGATTTTGTGCATCACTGCATTGCAAAATGTGTCTGAAAACTGAACCTACTTTGAGCTTCAGATTGCGTTGAAATTTGAACATAATTTGAAGTTGTTAAACTAGAGTACACTGCAAGCTACAGACAAAAAATAACTACTGTAAGTACATTGGAGCTACACAGATTATTATACTACCCAATTTAATCATAGCTGATGTTTGCAGCGTGGGGTTTTGTACTAATGAACACTCAATACATAACTCAGTTTTGTGAATCAGTTCATTAAAATGACTCTTCCAAACAAACAATTTGACTGGAATGAATCAGACTTTCCTGAGCTACGTATGAAATAGGACCATTTAGGATGAACCGATTCACTAGAAAGAATCAGATTTCCCAATACTACATATAGTATGAAAGAGAAAGAACCATTTAGGATGAACTGATTCACAAGAATGAATCAGATTTCCCAACACTACGTACAGCATGAAAGCGAGAGAATTGTTTAAGATGAACCGAATTATTTGAATGAATCAGATTTCCCAACACTACATACAGTATGAAAGCGAGAGAACAGTTTAGGATGAACCAATTCACTACAAAGAATCAGATTTCCCAATACTACATACAGTATGCAAGACAAAGAACCATTTAAGATGAAGTGATTCACTAGAATTAATCAGATTTTCCCGCACTATGAGATTTTAAAAAATCATTTAGGATGAACCAGTTCACTAAAATAAACCAGATTTCCCAGTAACATATGAGAGAACTGTTCAGAATGGACTGATTCACTAGAATGAATCAGATTTCCCAATATAAAAGAGAGAGAATAATTTAGGACAAAGCACTTCGCTGTAATGAAGTACATTTCCCATTACCACATACAAGAGAGAAAACCTTGCAGAATGGACTTATTCACTAGAATGGTGATTCATAAACATAATGTGTCTTTTTTTATGAATGATAATATCTTACAATACATATCCTGAGTAAGCAATAAACATCATAACTTGGAAATAATCAGTAAACATTTGTATCTGTAATCCCCTTTGTGCATGTGTGTGTTGACACAAAGCAAACGGCTTCTATTTAGGAAGTAGCTGTTTTCCTCAGAAGAAATATCTGTAGGCAGCCTTCGCCGTGCCATCTGCTATAGCCCAAGCATCTGCTATGATATGAGAAGAGCTGCATGGATTCATCTGTTTGTTCCAAAGGGTTATTTGAACTCATTTCTGAGCTCTGTGATGAGAATGTAATTCAATCTTCTTACCGCCACGTCCACATAAATAGAGTTTAGTTCGCACAGCCAGCGGAAGATGAATTACAGTTCCCTGGACGATTAAGCAATGCAAGAATGTGCATAAAGGAAATATAATTTCAGTTGGACACTTTTGTGATGCGCACTCATGCGCTGAAATATAAATGCACCTTTGGAGTCCAGTGGGAGAAAAAAAGGTTGGCGGCCGTCACAAAAGACGTGCCAGTGTTTGAAAAGGGCTGAAATAATGAGGCCAAAAATATCCCTGACCTAGAGACATATTAGGATGTAATCAAGACCACAATGGAGAGGTGGGCATCCTTTGTGACTGATAATGATGGCTGCACTCATTTCATGCATGACAGTTGAGCTGAATGGCCGAGGAAAACCCTCTCCATTCACAACAGACCTCCTGAGGAGACTTAAGGATGCTTGTATGCTTATTGTATGGCAGCTTTCCTAATAGACTACAGTACATTTCTCTCTGTTTAGTAATTGCATTGCTCAACATTTTTGGTGGCCAACCTGTAATATTTTTGTCAGGTTACCTACAATGTGCTTGAGTTATAAAATGTAAAATGTAACATGAGTTTAATTGGGTTTATTCAAACCAATAATATTGATATTTATTATTTAAATAGTACAGGTGCATCTCAATAAATTAGAATGTCGTGGAAAAGTTCATTTATTTCAGTAATTCAACTCAAATTGTGAAACTCGTGTATTAAATAAATTCAGTGCACACAGACTGAAGTAGTTTAAGTCTTTGGTTCTTTTAATTGTGATGATTTTGGCTCACATTTAACAAAAACCCACCAATTCACCATCTCAACAAATTAGAATACTTCATAAGACCAATAAAAAAAACATTTTTAGTGAATTGTTGACCTTCTGGAAAGTATGTTCATTTACTGTACATGTACTCAATACTTGGTAGGGGCTCCTTTTGCTTTAATTACTGCCTCAATTCGGCATGGCATGGAGGTGATCAGTTTGTGGCACTGCTGAGGTGGTATGGAAGCCCAGGTTTCCTTGACAGTGGCCTTCAGCTCATCTGCATTTCTTGGTCTCTTGTTTCTCATTTTCCTCTTGACAATACACCATAGATTCTCTATGGGGTTCAGGTCTGATGAGTTTGCTGGCCAGTCAAGCACACCAACACCATGATCATTTAACCAACTTTTGGTGCTTTTGGAAGTGTGGGCAGGTGCCAAATCCTGCTGGAAAATGAAAT